CCACTAATTTGATGCTATTTACTGACGCTGTTGCCATTTCCTATAGGATCTCTTCTTTTGCAGGTGTTTAAAAACTGTAACGTCTGGTATACAGTACAAAAGTAAAGCCAAAGTACGCAAAGTGTTAAAAATCCCACGCAGCCATCAAAATACCAGAGTATAATCCACGCAATGCTGCAAACCAAATGAAACTTACACTACAACCTCTTTCCAAAAAGCAATGCAAATTTTGAACAAACATCAGATAACATCGACCACAACGACAATTTAAGAGTCATTCTCCTGCAAACCTTGGAGGCTCATTATATCATTATGTCATTGTATCTTAGCTCAATTGTGGCTCAAGTGTGGCGCGATATTTCAGGTCTATAAAACCCAATTCTCCACAATGATAGCAATTTCTTGTGCTTGTCCTGAAATATCGCGCCACACTTGAGCTAAGATATAATGACAATTTTTCATTGCCATAAAACTGAAAGAGGCACCAAAAATCTCTTGAAAAGGCAAAACGAAGCAAAAAAGGTGGAACGAGACACTGATAAGACACGTACTCAGACTACATTAAAAACTTTATTGTAAGGGTCCTTCAACTTCATATTGATGCGCCGCATTTGAAAGAAACGGCATACTTTTTTTGTTCTCTGTGTTTAAAGTACTGTTTAGTATGTGCATTGTGATTATTGAAATGTTTACAAGTAACTTTAAATTCCCCATGCGTCTGTTTCACTCTTCCACAAAGTGGAAGATGACAATGTGCCCCCTCCCTTTGTCAGGGTATTAGGGAATTCTGGCCCAAAACCTTTCAAATTTTAAAATTTAAAACTTTTCAAATTTTCATTATATAAATCTTCCACGTCAAATTCGACTCCAAGCGGAGTCACAATGTGCCACACCATCTCCTTACGTGTTATATAACCATTGAGTATTACATTTGGGGACGTGATGGCCCGAACAAACTGTCCCATTGGCCTTTTTATTTGTTCGCTAAAATCACTCTTCTTATTATCTCGATGGAGGCCTGGCTGGATTTAGCCGTAGCGGAACTACTTAAGAGAAACAAAACACAACCCACACAGTACAACGTCATATTGATTACATCGGTATAATTAGTAAAAATGTGAACTCCATTGAGGGCGAGTCGACCAGATGCACAACAGGCTGATGAGTCCACATTTAATTAGTGTTTGATACAGATTTTGACAGCAAACTTGACTTCTCGAGACGATCAGACAATAACAGGATAACAAACTGCACAGCTGACAGTCCAGACCGCCTGTCGAAGTCACATACCGCCTATTCAACCTAAGCTATGCTACTTGAATTTTTCAAACAAATTACACAGTACATGTATCTACAGAGTGGTCATAGGGGTCGTAAAACAATCCCTCTCACTCCTTCCTAGCCTAAACTTTCTAGATCGTGGTAGATATAACGCCGTAGCAAGAAGGACTCAGCCTCACCGTCCATTTTTCGCGGAGGGCGCCGAGGCTAGATATTCCACAGCATTGTGGCGGTGACCAGAACGCCCAGTTGCCACCCGAGCAGCTTGAGAGAGGCTGCGCCATTGCACCGGTCCGCGTCGTCGCAAAAGCACACCTCGCCATCAAACTCATTGGAGGCAGCGTCTGCAATCAGCCACGGGAGGGCGTCCTTTCCGGAGTAACACTTGTTCTCGGGAACGTTATCGGGAGTGAAATAGCTGCACTGTCGCAGTAGACCTTGTTGCTTGAACCCAGTTCCTGCGGTGGACGAAAATAAATCATTTAAAAAGACAATTGTCAAATGAAATGGCGGAGGAGCCATAAGTCAATAGGTCAACGCCTTTGAATATTGTCACAACGAATTTTAAACTATACGGTCAAATGGCGTACTATTTACGAGACACATTTCTCTCCATTCCCTAGCCTCCCCCTAGGCAACGCAACTATACACGACGCGACGGCATGACGGCTCCCTTGCGTCGTGCCGTCGGGTCGCACCGTCGCACCTAAGAAATAACTGTTAAAAAATAGAAGCCAAGAAAAAAGGGCACAGATTGACGGAAAGTGATGAGAAAGTTTGGCTCTCTTCCTCTCTTACCGTTTATAATCACTCTCGCTATACCAACATATTTGCCAGGTCTTGTATATTTCGACCACCAAAAATTATCTTAAAGTTTGCCTCCATCAAAAATTTATAATGAGTACAATATGTTCGTTGCGAACGATGTTTTTTACACTAATGACAGAATCGAATGACATTCACGACTGCCGACTTCGGGACCCGATTGATTATGAGAGGTACTCTTTAATTTCGTGATTATGATGGTTTTAATATGTCTACGGGTTCGCAGGTACCCCGACGACAACAAATCACAGTGACAGTTATTTTGGGGGCTTTCACGCGCTATCTTCTTCCTGGTGCAAGCTTCAACTTTTCGTGCGCAAGTTTTAGTGCGAGTGTAAAAGCTCTAATCTTTGGCCGCGCGAATTTTAACCTTGGGTGCACGTGTAATTCGCACAAAGGGTGAAGCGTGAAGACACGCTACTGCTAGCTAATACGTACAGTCCTCACGGCCGTGCCGTGCCAGGGTTTCGATTCAAGTTTTTTCGTAGGCCTACAAACAATCAAAATTCATCACCAATCAGGTATAAAAGGGTATAAAGTGTATTTTCAAATTGGTCTTGTGCTGGTCTTGGCCGAAAATTCCGAGAACAGGAGGTGCGAGATCAAGACCAAGACCGAGACCAATGATTCGAGACCAAGACCTGCATGTTCGAGACTAAGACCACCTTCAAACTGGTCTGGAGACTGGTCTCGAGGCCAAGACCAGTCTCGACGACTACAACACTGCATGTCTAATTTCCCCTCAGATCCGCGTGTTACATTAGCAAGCACGTAATAATGATTGATGTATTTTATCTTAGCATGGATTCAGAAATATTGTAGCGGGCATAATATGAGAATCATGACACCTGCTTAACATTATTTATTTGTTTACTAGTTTACGCCTTTTATTATCAGCCAACCAGTGAGAATTAATTCATTTCCGGCTAAGATAGTGAAAGAAATATTGTGAATTTACAATGAAAATAAGTAAGGGCCTAGCTTGAAGACAATCTATTGCTGAAGTTGGGGACGACTTGACTTGGCTAGTCTTGACTTGGCAAGTAGCTGTACAGCTTGCAATAGAAAGGCTTGCAGTAAAAGAGCTTGAATAGATGGCAAAGATGTGTTGGGCTAAGTGCAGATGATGTTTAGGGTTCAAATGCACAGTCTGTCCTTCCCCTCGACTGAGTCAGGTTTCGGAACGGAATTCATGTGGCTCTGGTCCAGGCCACCCACTGTCCAGAAACGTATGCATGTGTAGCTCAATAGGCTTTACTCTGGGGATGTCTTTGCCTAGAGCAGGACAGGGACGATTTTGTAAGTATGGCAGGTTCGATGAAAGGAGAAATCAGCCAATAGCCAAGTGAAGTGGGAGGTCACTGGCTACGGAAGTTCTAAGCTCCTTCTCAAGAACTCTTGTGGCTGGTTGCAAGTTCTGCTACCAATTGCCCGTACGCGCTGCCAAGCAACCCACACAGGTCTGAGAAATTGTATGACCTAATTCTGGCGGAGTCAGGAATTCAAAAAGTGGGCGAACAAAATCAATTCTATTACATATTATTAGGAAGATCAAAATTAGAGCAGGAAAAGCTTAAACGACGTTGTGGCTCACGTAATTTATTTCCTGGAGACAAGGCTGATAGTTGATAGCGTACAAAGAGCGAATACCATGTACTAGGTGCAGTCCACTAATTCAAGTGAGAATTTTGCCGAGCTCATTAGCATTAAACGTGCCCCCCAGCATCTTTTGAAAAGAAGGAGATTGTTTGGCCCCCGAAATGGTGAGACAGTATAAACAGTTGCCAGGATCAACTCCTTCGGTCTTTGAGCTTTCCTGTGAGAGCAAAATCACTAAAAAGTATGACTGAAAATGCTCCGCAAGGCCTGAGAAAGTTGAGGGTTGCCACTTGAAAAATGGCTGCAGTCAGACTTCGCAAAAATCACTTTTGTGGGGGTGAATTTGTTTTGTAAGAATAATTAAAAATGAAATTGGTTAATCCACAAAAAATTGCAAACAAATGAAAGATTACGGACCAGACAATAATTTTATTTGTGTTTCAAAAATCTGAAGGGCGTTGGTATGCATGTTATTGCAGTGCTGATTTTACACTCTTTTCAATGGGGCTTGAATTAGTGGTTTGTATCCTACCATGCAATTACGGGGGGGTGGAAGAAAACAGTAAAGGCGCCCTCTATAAACACCATGAAGCAAAGGGCGACAGCACACGACATGTCGCGTCGTGCGTCGAGTCGGACTTCAGGCGACGTAATAGGCGACACCATGCACGACACGACGTACGACGGTACGACACGACGGGCGACGGAAGGGGCGACGTTTAGGAAGGGAAAAAATGCAACTTGGAAATGACCTGGGACAGGCGACTGCACGACGCGACGTGTCCTGTGTTTACAAGCGTAATCTCCTGGAGGGAGGCTAGACATAGAGAGAGAAACGTGTTCGTAAATTGTACACCATAGAAATGTGATAGACATGTTCAAAGTCCGACCAGTAAAAAGCAATCAAGTGTCCCTTTTTCATAAGGGGAAATACATTTTTTAACAGTCTGGATCAGATAATAAAAAAGAGTTGCCCCTTCCCATTCGTTTCCCCAGCTGGTACCCTTAAGAACTCCTAAGCACACATGTATCAGCAAAAATGTTGAGAAAAAAACAGTGTTGTAGTCGAGTACTTTCGGAGTACCAATGTTCTCCGCAAAATACTGAACTGGGTAAGAGGAAATAAAGCCAGAGTGCACAGGCATTTGATGGTAAATGTGCAAAGGTAAGATTACCAAATGAATGTTAGACTTCAGACACTCCCAGTTGTGTAAAATTTAAGTTTTAAGGAGAAAAGTACCCGGAAAGTACTCGGCCGAGTACTTTCCAAGTACTCTTGTCCTAAAAAAGTTAAGTTTAATCAAACAGTGATGGTCTGAAGTCATTATGTTGCTTTGTAATCTTACCTTTATGCATGTACCATCAAATGCCGATGTACTTCAGCTTTGTTCCCTCCTAACTAGTTAAATATTTGGTAGAGAACTTGGTTCTCAAAAAGTACTCTACTACATCACTGGAGAAAAAACAGCTCGGAAAAAAAACCTAAACGGAGGTGACATCCCTTCCATTTCAACAAGAAATGGACGTGGAACTGGGCTCTTTACGAAAGGCCCGGAGTGCCGTCAAGTATGTATTTTCGACAAATGAAGTGTATTCTTCCAAAGTTCCTTTCTTTTAAGTATATTTTCCCGTTTGTTCGCGATTATTCTCTAGTTTTTTTCTCTAAGATATAAAAATAGAAATAATTTTTTCCAAGTTCGTTTCTTGGAGATATTTTCGTTTTCATGAATTATATTTTTTAAATTTTTTTTGTGAGAGAAAAATCCAATCTTGATTACATCTTCTGAAAATTAACTTGGAAAAATTATATCTCATAAAAAACGAACCTCATCAAAAAAAATATATCTCGTAAACAAGAATTATTTTCAAAAATACAAACAATGTTTCAATACATAGATCTCATTAGAATGAACTGAAGAATGTATGTCTCGAACAAACGAACTTTGAAAAGAATATATTTCAGACAAACGAACTGGGACAAAATATATCTCAACCAAACGGACTTCGAGGAATTATACTTCACGCTTTGAAAATTGATGGCACTCCAGAGCCTTCGTAGTTCTTCCTTTTAGTCAGCTTTGTCTATCTAACAACACAATGCATGTGGGGCCTACACGCAGTATGTGTAGAAGGCCCACCACGGATTTTGTCCTAGCACATTCATGGGTGTAAATCCGGAGGGGGGGTATGGCATATGAACAAAACATTCAAGTGGATCGTGAAGAATCTTTCAGACTGCCAAGGACTAAAACGAATTTGGTATCAGTCAAAAAAGGGAAAACAATTACAAAAATAACTACAGAAAAGTTTTTGTAAACAAGTACAAACACAGAGCTGGTTCGGGACT